ATGTTATGCTTCATGTAACATACATAGACTAGAGAGCCGCTCATGCCCTTGACAAATAAATTAAAATTTTCGCACAAATACAAATCAATATCGTCATTAGACAAGAATTAAAAAAATAAAATTTATAAACAAAACCTACCACGGCATATTCTTGAACAAGTATGCCTACAAACCTACGATAAGCATGTTTGTTATTATTATACTTAACCTACAAATGCTATGACTTAGGGCATACCTGCTTTCCTAGATAAAATATCCGAACTAATTGCGAGTGCAACGTGAACTTAGAAAAAGACTAGTAAGAATTTACAACTGTGAATTTCTCAGAATTGATTGACAGTTCAGACGAACCTATGGCTACAGACTGCGGAAACCTACATTACTAGTGGCTTGAAGGGGCAATAGCCCCTATATATATTCTAGTAATTATTTTGTACAATTTATTAGTCTCATGGGTTACCCTACCTTGATTGTAGTTTAAGATTTTGTATATTATAATATGTATAATAGTTATTACATACCTGTATAAAGCATTTTGATGTCTGCTCTGTTAAAAATTAAAATTCCAAAGGACTTTTCATGCCCCCAAATTATCATGCCCAGACCTTTAACATAAGACCTCTCCCAGCTTTTTACGGCCTCCCGTTCGCTCACAATTTCATTGTAAAATGTTGGGCTTATGTGAAAATTTCCCTTGTAAACTTAAATGGCATATTACGATCTGTAGTTATTAGTTTTATTTTTGGCCAGAAAAATTGTTCACTTTGCTTCTCAAGTAATTACTACTAATTTTACACTTTTTTTAGACATAGGTACCTAACACAACCAATCGTACTCCATTAACTAATCCAGACCCTAGGTTAATATTTCTAATGAGCATTACTATTGAACCAACTTTTAAAACTAATTTGTGTGGTGGCATTCCAGATGGTGCAATTGAAATACGGTTGTATATAGTCAATTAGTATTTTAAACCTCTCTTTAGGGTTAGTATACATTTTACAGTACATACTGTATTACCATATGCTTTAAATAAAGTTAAACCACATGTTTTAAAGTAAACAAAGCAGATATGACATAGATTCCCATGTTATTTAAATGTGAATTATTTTATTCCATAAGGACCTTTTGGTGCATAATTAAGAAAAATGAATAGTTTTCCCTCAAAATTCACGTCAAGACCTTTAAAATAAGACCCCTCCCATCCTTCTACGGCCATCCAGTCACTCACAATTTCTTTACAAAAATTTGACTTACGGAATTATATATATAGATTATCATAGATGAAGTAATATAAATTGTGTTTATTTATTCTATGGTATTATTGTATTAGTATACTGTATTTGTATTTGTATTATTGTGTTACTAGCAGAGTACCCGTCCTTCGTACGGGGTTGGCATATAAGTATAAATGCTTATTGCAGTTATGGGAGAGGACACGATTAAAAAAAACAATTGGCCTTTTAATTTATACGGTATCCTATAGTGTAGCACACATCTACTATAGTCCTGATGTTCTACCACTGCACCTAAACCATGGAAAAAAGTAAAGTTCTCATTGTGTACCACAACTTTTGTTTGCTAGTTGGTTCAAATTAGCTGAGGTCATTAATGCAAACAAACAACATAATAGTGCTGCACCCTGTTTGGCAAGCCTTATAACTTTTTAATGCTGTTTAATATCATAGAACCAACTTGTACAGTTGAAACGGCTGACAAAATTCTTTGATTTCTTTAAATATGAATACCCATAAGGTTAACATGAGAAAGTCCAGAGCCAGAGCCACCGGGGTGGAGACTGAAAGAATTTTTGAGGTAAGAATATATTAATCGGGGATGTCATCTATTATCAAATTTCAACCTTGTCGGTTTAGTATTTTTCGCGTTTGCTTGTCACAAACATCCATCCATACATCTATCCATCCACAGATCCATACATCCGTGGTTTGCACTGTAAACATAAAGCTATTACAATAGTTCCAAACCGACAAATAGAAAAATAGGAAAATATAAATAAATATGGGAAATAGGGTAATTTTCTAACATATTTTAGTGAAATTATATAATCAGGCAAATGGAAATTCAGTCTACAGATTTGCTGTGGCAGGGGGGTTATATTACGGTTTACACAAAAATAAATCAAAACATAAACCTCATAACACTCAGGAAAAGGGCCTAGGTTGATAGGGCAACGATTATAGAATCTTAATTATTTCCTATATCCATGATGAATGATTTCTTTTAATACGAATTATTCCCAGTAAAATATTATTACAGTATTTCACAAAAATAGAACAGACTCGGTATAATAGATCATAAACATAACTAAATGAAGTAACTGAAAGAATCATATACTAATTAAATTACATTAACATATGGTTTGACAGCTACATTTAAGTAATGTAAAAAAATGTTTACATTCGGGCTAGTAACATCATTATTTTAAATTTATAATCCTTACCCTCTCTGTTCTAATATTCGTGCATTATTTAATATGTTTGAACCAGCTGTGTGGAATTGTGAAATCAAAATTCATTTGACAGTTAAAACAAAACATTGAATAATAAAAATACATTTGTATGAAAGTAACAGATAGATTGACAAAATTGTAAAACGATCGTATAATATCTAACAATATCAAATTATTTACAGTATCACGGTTACAACTTTTAAACTACTTTTGTTATGACTCAATGTTAACCTCTTTAGGACCTTTCATTTTATGCTTTTGTTATTGGGGACTGGTTAAAACACCACAGTAGGTTTTACAAATATGATTGTGAGATGATATTATAATCTGAACTAGATTATGCGTGTTGATAATAATATGTATTTTAATTTAAGTACTTTAATTGATTCGGTTATATGTTTACCTCATATAACATTTGAATATGGATTGAAACATTAGATGTCTTTGGAATACTCTGAGAGTGAGAAGCAAAACATAACTTTCAGCAATGATGCATCGAAATCTACCTTTACTGACTGATTCAGAAATGTAATTGCAAAATATTTTGTCAACATGACTAAAATGTTAAAAAAAAAATAGATGTATCAGCACGAAATAGTTTGTAAGATAAAAAAAGCAGTCTAGGACAACTTATATAGCGTTCTAACCTCAAACATTGTTATCGTTTCAGTGTACAAATTCAATTGATACAAAATAACTACGTTACCAATTTATGTTTGTAAACAAAAATCAATTTTTTAATGGTTGCGTAATAGCTATTTACATTACAAGTGTAGTAAGAGCGTTTTTACTTCACGCACGGTGAATGTTGTGCAACGAGCGGAAGCGAGTTGCATAATTCACCTAAGTGATGTAAACAGCACGCTCTTGCGTAACGTGTAACGTACAAGATTTTACCTGACCCGACAATAAACATGGGTTTACGTACAATATTTTTCACTATCCATTTCACTCATCTTCTATCAGTAACGTTCTTTTACTAACAAAAGCTAGGTTAGGTAGGAAAATACTTTAAAGCATAATAATAACATTCAAGCGCACAGCTGATTTCTAGCGTTGAACATCGTTGGCTCCATAGAGTTATATTTTTTTAAATTAAGCACTCAATGTTATTTAAATGGGTTTCTTTACATCACCGAGTGAGTTTTTGATACTTTACATCACTCGAGAAGTAAGGAAGTTGTATACATCACGCTTGGGATAGGGAAGTTTAACATGGCGGGTTAGGTAAATCAATTTAAATTATTATTTACTACACAAATTATTTGTAATGTAAAACATTGTTCACCACTCGGAGCAAAAGTATATTATTTATGGTACTTAAATTGTTTTATAGTACGTGGCAGTATAGTATTATTAGTTTATTAGTTGCTTGTTACACTGTTCTACACACTGCTCAAGCTCTACAACTCATTAAGTGGCATCCTGTCCACACACTGTTGATATATACTGAATTGTGGCATGGTGCCACTATTTCGAGTGTAGGCTGGCGCGAGAATTGGCAACGTAGCATTAGGAAAGTTATAGTTCCGGCGGACGGCGCGAGGCGCGCTAGCTACCTGTATGGTTTCGTGTTCCACAATTCGGTGTGTACCTGCGCTACTTAAACTCACATCAACGAGTTCAAAAATACTCAATTGTGGCATGTGATGTTTAAACGACGTAATAATGCTGGAAAACCTCAAAAATGATCGAATTAGCTGTGGCACCCTGAAAAAGGTGCCACAATTTTTGAAGGTGCCACAGTACGGCCGTGTGCCTGTGAAGGATGCCACTATTCGGTGAATACAAACACACACCCACACACAGACATCACTTCGAAAACCACTTTTTTGGGTCCAGGGGGACCCAAAATGAATATATCCACTCAAAACTCAAACTCGAAAATTTTGACGAAAACAATACTTTCTCCATATACTATGGTGTAGGGGGAGAAAGTAAAAATAGGATTTTAGAACAAAAATCCTGTTTTGATTTAACATAGTAGGTTATGATCGTTACAATTTTGATAGTTTTTTAATTTTTTAGAAATTTGTATTTTTTATGGGAATTTTCCCATAAAACCCCATAAAATAACTGAAAAATAGGATTTTCCCAGAAATGGCTCGAACGATTTTGATAAAAATTTTGTATGTTATAGTCCTTTATATTCTAAACAAAATGGTACAAATCCCATTTCTGTAAAAATTACGGTTCAAAAGTTATTGTGAATTATGTCATTTTCCCATAAAACCCCCATAAAATAACAGAAAAATCGGATTTTCCCAAAAATGGCCCGAACAATTTTGATAAAAATTTTGTATGTTATAGTCCTTTAAATTCTGAACAAAATTGTACAAATCCCATTTCCGTATATTTACACCACTTACACATAATAAAGGTTGTTGAACAACTTATGGGAGAAAGTATGTGTCAGAATGCTGATACCGTTTATTTTGTATACATTAAAAAAAATGTGCTGGAATGGGCGGGCCAGCTTCACGGCACTTTTTGGGTTTTGGTTTGGTAAGATTTAAGATAAGATAACAAAAGTAAGAAAGATAACAAAAACAAAAGTAAGAAAGATAACCTAACCTGTCCTGTGTATGTTATGTTTTGTTTTTATCCAAACAACATGACAAGAAACAAACTTGTGTTCATCTATCAAATTTTACAAGATCATTAAAAGCCAACGCAGAATAAATGTTTATAGTTTGATAAAAGAAAAGGCAAGTAAGTAGACCAAGTGACCAAGACACAGACAATCTTAAACACATCATAGGTTAATACAGTAGCAAAGTAGCAATCAAACATGCCGTACTGTAGTAGGCCTAACATGTAATTTCCCTAATTAACTTGATTTTAAATGATTAAGTAACAGCTCCTGGGTACCGTTTCTTAAAGCATAGCCCATAGTTAAGAAACTGTACCCACAGTTTCTTAACTTGGCTACCTACGCTAGCCTAGGCTATAATATCGATTGAAACTAGGCCTAGGCTAATGTCTGTGAAACTGCCAATAAACCAACATTAAGCTATGACGTCACGTCAGATCAGTAGATCAAGAAGGCCGTGGCATCAAAACTTCCTAACCTCAAATGCATGTATCAAAACTTTCTAACCTCAAACACATGTGTCACATGTCAAAACTTCCTAACCTCAAATACATTTTATGTTTAAATTACACCTTTTGAGCAGTTATTAAGTGTTTGTTTTACTAGTATACCATTTTTATGTTAATGCGGTGCCGAAATAAAGTGCAATGACCACTAATAACACTTGTTTTTATTCCATTGATATGTAGGCCTACTTCCACTAACCTCAAAGTGCATTTCACACTACAAACATACATCTGACTAGATTTATGTAGATTACTTTTATGGATTATGTTACATTATAAGTCAATACATGTGATAATAAAATAGCATGCCCATACGATGCTTATGATGGTTTCTATATGTGGTAACAGTTAGACCTGCTCCTTACCCAACTACCGATTTAACAGATTAAAAAAAAACAATTATATTTTAAAATTCGCTCGATAAATTTTCATTATTTTAATGGAGAATGTTATTTACACGTCTACACATGTTATAATAAAATGGCAAGCCCATTCGATGCTTATGATGGTTTCTATAGGTGGTAGAAGATAGGCCTGCTCCTTACTGAGCTACCTATTTTTCAGATAAAAAAAGATATATTTCAAATTTGGCTCGATAAATTTTGATTATTTTTAAGGAGTATGTTATTTACACGTATACACGTGTCATAATTAAATGGCAAGCCCATTCAATGCTTATGATGGTTTCTGTATGAGGTAGAAGTTGAACCTGCCATTTATAAGACTACTGATGTTACAGATTTAAAAAAAATCATATTTCAAATTTCGCTCGATAAATTTTGATTATTTTTATGGAGTATGTTATTTACAAGTATACACGTGACATAATTTAAAGGCAAGCCCATTCAATGCTTATGATGGTTTCTATAGGTGGTAGAAGATAGGCCTGCTCCTTACTGGGCTACGGTTTTTTTCACCTTTTAGGGAATTATTTCCAGGGGCCTGTTTCATAACAATGCATAAACAATGCTTATTATTACAGTAGAGTCCCGCAAACTCGGTGCAATGTGTAATGGAAGGGTGCCGAGTTTGTGAAATGCCGGGTTATCGGGAAGTAGAGTTAAAAATAAGAACAATACAACATTTAAGCTTTTTAATCCCTTTTTTAATTAATAGATTTAAATATTACAGGTCAGTATTAAGTCATCAGATATAGTAAAACAAATCCTTAGTACGAGTTGCAAGTATATTGTTATGAAACAGGCTCCAGGCAGGGACATATTTACGTATCTGCCGGCTCTAGGCAACAAAATTTTTTGTTTGAAGTTCATTGTTGGTGATGGTGAGTTAATGTTGTTCAAAGGTTTATTGCGGACATTTTCCATCACGATTGTAAATAAACAATACACATGTGGAAAATGTCCGCAATAAACCTTTGAACAACAACAACATTTGTCGCCCTTCCCCTCACATTTTTCACTTTTTCCCCTCACAAAAATAGGCTTTTGTTTCACTTTGTGTTCTGAAATTATTTTTTACTTAATAAAAATAATTCAAATAGTGGTTTTGCCTTTCCCATAATTATTTGCTAAACGTCAATTGTTTTAGATTACAACCTCCTTTTTAAATTTTAACCTCCAACATTTTGGTGTCCCTAAAATTTGCCGCCCTATGGGGGATGCCTAGTCCGCCAATTCGGAAATATGTCCCTGGCCTCACATGTATATTTACCTAATATGACTGGACTATTTTTTATTATTTTTATTTTTAGTTAATGTAAAATGTAATATTATGTTTTCTGAACAGGGCCGCTGAGATAAATCCTCGGCCAATTAGTAATTTACAGTTTTTAAACCTATAACAGAACTGGGACTAAAATCTATTTCCTAATTTATAAATATTACTAAAAATTTCATCCAAACTATTAAAATAATTCAATAATTCAATAGTACAATACAAAACAATCCAATAATAGTTAATTTCCATAGTGTTTTTTGTTTTTTTGCATTTTTTACTAAACAAATTTCAAATTTCTCAATTGCCCTCTTTGACCACCCTCTCGGCGGCCCTGGTTATTATGTTTTTATAAAAAAAAATAGTCTGTTGTAGGGTGAATGTACCAATAAATGCCCATTATACTATACCAGTTTCAATAAAAACTGCAACATAAATTATTTTCATAAAATTAACTAACTAAACCCAGTATTTTTTTCCTTTTTAAAACAAGTCTTACTTCACCTAAACTGGTCAGTTATTGGTACATTCACCTTATTTATTTTATTATATTTGTAAAGATTGTTTGGTTGTTTTGTTTCAACAGATGTTTATTTTGTTCTCTTTACTTGTTTGTTTTATTAAAACAATTTTATGCTCCTTTTGTTTGTATTTTTTTTATTACAACAAATTTATGTTCCTATTGTTTGTAGTGTATATTTAAGATTCTAATGTGTATTTTAAGCCTAAATACAGGGTGCGGCAAAAAAACCGATCTATTTTCTTCAGCGCACTGTTCAGCGACAGGCCGTCTGAGGGTTTTTGGGAGTAGACTCGTTGGGTAGCCTATACGATGCCATTTATTGTAATCATAGAGCAACTTAAAACTTTATTAAAAAGCCAAAACCCAAATTAAAACATTTATCACACCTTGCTTATGCACCATTTTACTAACATTATTGTTAGTATTGTCTTGAACATGGTAGATGAGGTTCTCTACAATTCGGTAGGCAAGTTCTTAAAAAGTTTGGCTCCAGTGTAGGATGGCTTCAGTTGGAATCTGAACGTGTGATGTACTGGTTTTGAAGTCATACACTGTAAATTTTTAAACTTATTTCCTAAATCAATAGCCTACGATGGAGCTAGTCCAACTTCTACTCCCACTAGGAGGTACGATGTGAACAGCCATACAAGTGCAGTAGCCGACCATGGAGCAGGTACAGGTAGGCTAAGTATTCTACAGATGCATTTTATTTTATTTCTTGGGTATCTTAAGAAATAATGATCATATTACATAAAATTCATTAAAATTGTGTAAACGATTTTTTAGATATACATTTTTTATTAAATGGGAAAATCGGTAGCCTAGAATTGAACAGGCACATCATTAAAATCAGTAAAATCATTAGCCTACGAAAGTGCAGACTGCAGGTCCAACTTCTAACTCATACAGAAACCATCTTAAGCATTGAATGGGCTTGCCATTTAATTATAACATGTGTATACTTGTAAATAACATACTCCATAAAAATAATCAAAATTTATCGAGCGAAATTTGAAATATAATTTTTTTCTTCTGAAAAATCGGTAGCTCAGTAAGGAGCAGGACTATCTTCTACCACCTATAGAAACCATCATAAGCATTGAATGGGCTTGCCATTTAATTATGTCACGTGTATACTTGTAAATAACATACTCCATAAAAATAATCAAAATTTATCGAGCGAAATTTGAAATATAATTTTTTTCTTCTGAAAAATCGGTAGCTCAGTAAGGAGCAGGACTATCTTCTACCACCTATAGAAACCATCATAAGCATTGAATGGGCTTGCCATTTAATTATAACATGTGTAGAAGTCTAAATAACATACTCCATAAAAATAATCAAAATTTATCGAGCGAAAATTGAAATATAATTTTTTTCTTCTGAAAAATCGGTAGCTCAGTAAGGAGCAGGACTATCTTCTACCACCTATAGAAACCATCATAAGCATTGAATGGGCTTGCCATTTACGTATGACATGTGTATACGTCTAAATAACATACTCCATAAAAATAATGAAAATTTATCGAGCGAAATTTGAAATATAATTTTTTTATCTGAAAAAAACCGTAGCCCAGTAAGGAGCAGGCCTATCTTCTACCACCTATAGAAACCATCATAAGCATTGAATGGGCTTGCCATTTAATTATGTCACGTGTATACTTGTAAATAACATACTCCATAAAAATAATCAAAATTTATCGAGCGAAATTTGAAATATAATTTTTTTCTTCTGAAAAATCGGTAGCTCAGTAAGGAGCTGGACTATCTTCTACCACCTATAGAAACCATCATAAGCATTGAATGGGCTTGCCATTTACGTATGACATGTGTATACGTCTAAATAACATACTCCATAAAAATAATGAAAATTTATCGAGCGAAATTTGAAATATAATTTTTTTATCTGAAAAAAACCGTAGCCCAGTAAGGAGCAGGCCTATCTTCTACCACCTATAGAAACCATCATAAGCATTGAATGGACTTGCCATTTAATTATGTCACGTGTATACTTGTAAATAACATACTCCATAAAAATAATCAAAATTTATCGAGCGAAATTTGAAATATAATTTTTTTCTTCTGAAAAATCGGTAGCTCAGTAAGGAGCAGGACTATATTCTACCAACTATAGAAACCATCATAAGCATTGAATGGGCTTGCCATTTAATTATAACATGTGTAGAAGTCTAAATAACATACTCCATAAAAATAATCAAAATTTATCGAGCGAAATTTGAAATATGATTTTTTTCTTCTGAAAAATCGGTAGCTCAGTAAGGAGCAGGACTATATTCTACCAACTATAGAAACCATCATAAGCATTGAATGGGCTTGCCATTTAATTATGTCACGTGTATACTTGTAAATAACATACTCCATAAAAATAATCAAAATTTATCGAGCGAAATTTGAAATATAATTTTTTTCTTCTGAAAAATCGGTAGCTCAGTAAGGAGCAGGAC